AGCAAACTACATCATTTTACAATATTCTCCGTAAGAATAACATGGAAATTTTAAATTTAAAATTTTTTGAGTTTTATCCATAACCAATTACCGTACAAAAACACTTTGATATACTTAATTATTTGTTTTTTTTTTAGCTCTTTAAGAAGGTCTATAGAGAAATTGGGAAATCTTTTGTTTTGAGGGTCAAAAATATGAAAAACGAATTTTTACCCCATAAAACACGTTAAACCCCGTTCCCATGCATCATGCTGGTTCGCAAACTTATTCAACGTTTATCCCGCCTTACACCTTTAAACTAAATTTCATCAAAATCAGACAAAAATTACTCAAGTTATCGTCCGGACGGACATATATATTACATATATAAAAAATTTACCGAATGGGGTTTTTGGCCTCTGGGGACATCAAAATGAAAAAAGTAAATCGGTCTTGGGCCTAGGTCATACCATGAGACCTACGGAAATAGCTACTTCCCTATAGGGAAATTCGCTAAAAGCTGTAAAATAGCACACACAAAAATCTATTTTTATTTAACTCTTTTTCAACGGTAATATAATATTTAATTGTAACGTATATTTATTTATCCACAGATATTTACTTGTAACGTTTTTGCTGGTCCTAACTTAACCTCTAAAATAAATACATTTTAAATTTAATCTCGTTTATTTTTTGTGACAAATTTGGGACTATTTATGTTTGTTATCCGATTGATTTACTTCCCAGTGTATCACAGCCTACATGGATGCACCGGTAAATTAGGCGACTGAGGCAATCAAAGTTTTTGCATTAAATAAACATTTAAATTATGGAAATTATTAAAAGACTTGTTATCAAGGTAGACATTTTAAATGTTTGATATAACACGTGAATAGATGTATTAAAAAAACAAGAGTATTTTAAAGCACTTGTAACCTAGGGTGACTTGCTATTGAGGTTCTACTGTATGGGTTTTCTTCAATTACAAATGTAATTTTTGTATAATAAAATCCACAACTGGAATCATACAGTGCAACTTTTCCAAGTGGGACATAACTCTGTTAAACTTAACTAAACTCAACAAGGCAATTACTGCTCAATTCTCACGAGTGGTAGTGAAGAGGATTCATAGCTAATCGAATATTCATTGGTTAAGTCACCAGATTACCTCACGGCCTTTTTGTTCTGACCGTAAACGTTTTCAAATTACTAGCATTTGTATGTATGTAACTTTTATAAAGTAATAACAATCAAATTAATGGATTTCAAGGTCTTAATTATTTATTAATTATATATTTATTTAATTTATTATTATATATTGGTTGACTTTTAACTAAACATTTGTGGACAATGCAACTTCGTAAATGACATTTATTTCATTTTTTTAAGTATGCAAATAAAACCGCCAGGTAATATTTGACGAAATATTTTAAATATGCAAATTCATTAAAATCAATTAAAAGTAAACATTTGTCTGTGCTTTCTAAGACATTAATAACTCTAACGCTGATAATATAACGTATTTACAAATAGGTACTGTAAATTGTTCTAAAATGTATTTATCAACTTTAATATTTTTAATAAAATAATTTATGTATTAATATTGTTAGAAAACCGTGGAAGTTATTAAAATCACGTTTTAACTTGCTATTTTTATACTGTATATTTGGACTCTATGTTTTATTGCAATGCAATTATTTTATTTCCTATAATTTGATTTAATTTGGTTAAAATTACTGAAGCTAAAAACTATAATTAAGACGAATACAGGCTAACAGAGAATACACGGCTTTAAGCTATAGTTTTGTTACACATACATACATACTCTACTTTATTTAGAACTAGCTAAAGTACCCGTGCTTCGCTACACCTGATATTAAATTTAAGTGCGGAGGTAAATGTACAAAATTTTGGGGTAGCTAAAAGTTAAATGAAGGAGTGATAGTTGCAAAACGTTTTTTAATTTGTGCAGTTTCAGATTACAATGGGCTTAAGATTACTTTGCAACGATTACCGAACGTTTTTATAAACAATGTTTGCAGCTTTGTTGTCTGGTGTGTATATGTGCAAATCTTTGCTGCTCAATACACGTGAGCATGCCACGTATAGGCCATGAGAAAACCATTGATTTTCTATATGTAAGCCGGCTACTTGAAGAGTTTGGCCTTGTACTTTGTTTATTGTCATGGCAAAGGCTATCTTCAGAGGAAATTGAAGCCGTTTAAATGTAAACGGTCTGTTGGAATGATTGGAGTTCTTGGTATGAAAACTTTATCGCTTTTTGCCCATCTGGGGAGGAGCTGGGCTTCAATAACGTTTTGCTTCAACGAAGTAAGGATAATTCTGGTACCATTGCAGAGTCGTAGAGGTTCCAAATTTCTCAGTAGCATTACAGGTATCCTCACTTTCAATTCAATTTTGTGAGGAGGGACACCTGGAAACTCCAAGGTGTTCCCAGGCCACCCTAGCCTGATGCTCTTCAGGTGTTTCATCGGCTCTGTGTGACGCAGTTCTACTTGTGTTGGCTGATACTCGAAGGTTGCGTTCATCAGATGTCTCTCAGGGTCTATGTGAGGCATGCCTGATTGAATCAGCTAAAAGCCTAGCTTGGCGTTCATCAGGTGTTTTAGATGCTCTATGTGAGGCATGCTTGATCGAATCAGCCAAAAGCCTGGCCTGGCGTCCCTCAGCAGTCTCCGAAGCTCGAGCATTGCTCGTTGCCTTAGCTCTAATTGATTTTTGTGAAACATTACTTTTCTTCTTTTTAGGCATGACCTAAATTAATAATAACAGCAATAAATACAAAACAAACAGTAACAAAGCTGAAAGCACGCAGCAACTGAGACAATCACAGTGAAACTAAATCTTTGTTTACTTTGATTAGCTGTTTACTTCCTTGAATAAAGAAAGCCACTATCTCCACACATGCTAGTGGCAAAAATTCGGGAGCGGAACTTAACCTCTTAACCTCTGCTCTTTGAAATGTCAAATTCAAGTATTTACCGCTTGACTTATATTAATATTTGGATATTTATATTCTTCCAAAATGTAAACATTGCTACTTTGGATGTCCATGGGGCTATATAAGAACACGAATATGCCTATATGTTAACCATTGATATAAGCTACCTTCATGCAAAATATTATTAAAATCGGTTCAGTGGTTCTGGTGTTATTAAGTAGCACACACACACACATATACCATCTCATTTTTATATATTAGTATGGATTGCCTCAGCCATAGATTAAATAATACCATGGATGGGTACCAATTAACTTGCAACTACTATTATGTTGAATATAAATACGATAAATTAAGAATGTTTAAAAATCAAACATCTACCTCAACAGTGTTGGACGACCATCACTTATTTATGCTTTCCATGTGGGAAAGTAAACTACCTCAATAATAGTGAATTAAAGATTAACCGCCAGTTGATGGCAGCCTCTTGAATCTCTTACCTGAAGTGGCTGAAAACCTCTAAACACCAGTGAACGATTGACGTATTAGTCAATTTGGTGGGTATTTTCCACTAATGAAAACGATTTTGGGTATAATAGGGGTTGTTAAGCCTTGGTATGTAAAATTATACGTACAATAAGAATAACTGTATACGTAAATTTATGAAAATAAAATGTAAATATACTGTTTACTGCGTTACTTTCAGGAATTTTGTCTGATAAGTGTGAATTAAAAAAGGGATATTATTTGATTTGACTTGCACTATAAAATTCATTAGCCTGGGATTGCTTTACATATTCGTGGTCTTTAATTTTTCTTTGTGGGAGCGAGTTGGTTTAATAGTAGAGCACTAGACTACGATCCCTGAAGTCCCGGGTTCAAATCCTGCTGCTCAATAATGTATTTTTACCTACCTAATCATTATACAACCTCCGTTAGGACTAGCCTGAAGTAATTTGAAAAACAACCCCGGCTTGAGTCTAGTTTAACAACTATTTTCCCTTTCTACGTTTTTTCCTATTCTCCAATTTATGCTGATATAAGTAACAAAGGAAAACTAAATAATTTCTGTATGGACAGAAAAATGGTTACCAAACAGTTATTATAAATATGTTAGATAAAAGTGTGTATTATCTGCAATAAAAGGGGATTTGTAACATTTTATTGTAAGATTTGGAACTTACTGGTACCGACTCGCCCATGAGTATCGTACAACCAAGTACGGTAACCCCTCTCTTAGAAATTATCAAGCAGTTCCTAACTGTGATGATAAATTATGTTTTTATTTATCTTTAAAAGCGATTGTTGTCTTGAAAAGAGAGATTACCTGCGTGAACCCCTGCGAAAGTGGACGGGACATGACGAGAAGATGGTAGCACTATAGTACACCTGCGACAGAGTGAAGATCCAGCGGCATCACAGGTGGCGTATGTACCTTGACGAGGAGCTGGTGGCACCATAGACGCAGCTGACGACAGTACACCTGCGACAGAGTGAAGATCCAGCGGCATCACAGGTGGCGTATGTACCTTGACGAGGAGCTGGTGGCACCATAGACGCAGCTGACGACAGTACACCTGCGACAGAGTGAAGATCCAGCGGCATCACAGGTGGCGTATGTACCTTGACGAGGAGCTGGTGGCACCATAGACGCAGCTGACGACAGTACACCTGCGACAGAGTGAAGATCCAGCGGCATCACAGGTGGCGTATGTACCTTGACGAGGAGCTGGTGGCACCATAGACGCAGCTGACGACAGTACACCTGCGACAGAGTGAAGATCCAGCGGCATCACAGGTGGCGTCTGTACCTTGACGAGGAGATGGTGGCACCATAGACGCAGCTGACGACAGTACACCTGCGACAGAGTGAAGATCCAGCGGCATCACAGGTGGCGTCTGTACCGCACCTGCGGCGCGGCGGCGCCGTACACCTGACTCACTGGGGCTACCCACGCTTGTAGTGACGGTGTGTTTTGGCGCAAGACGACTATCAGAATGCCACTTGGCTATGGGCCGGCTAGGCTGCGGCTGGCTATTGCTGGCAGTGTTTGTGTGTTCGTGTCGTAGTGTGTGTCCCGTGTCGCGGTCTCAACGTCCAGGGTCACTCATGTCTCGGGACCACATCCTCCTCCTTCAACAATACGTCATGGAGGGTCTTGGACTTACCAGGCTTCCTGACACCACGAAAGTCAGTAAGAGTCTCAATTATTCACTTTTTATGGACTTTGTTAATTCACTACTACTGTTTTTTTTCAGGATGACATTTAAAAAGTGAAGTTCAAATCCGGCATAGGACTAGGTTATTTTAGGTTGGGTTGAGTTAGGTTAGGAACCAAGACGTGACTTCAATTATATTTCTTGTTTTATACAAATTTTAAGTTATATATTGTGGTAGTAGTGTAATGGAAAAGGTTCCTTTTATTATTTTATTCTATTAGGTAGTTTGTAAATGACAGACTACATGTGGATATTAAAACCCCAGTAAATACCGTGTTTAAAGTAGAAGTACAGTAATCCACTGAAAGTATAAGTTAATGTTAACGTTTAATTTCTTGGAAAACCAACATTGTAAAATTATTTCTAGTTACAATGTTTGGTACATTACAAAAAAGTAGGCCTTTGTTAAATATAATATTTTTTAAAGATTAGTCCCGTTGCACTACAGCTCGCTTTGTTGAGGCCAAGCGTATTGCGATAGAAATGTGCGCAATAGCTTGAATATATAGAAACAGGCTGAGTTACTTCAAATATATTTTGATTATAGCGTTTATATTGTTAGATACCTAGGTTTCATATTCAACTCCTTGTAAGCTAATGCTATTGTTATATGCATTTTATATCAGAATTTAATCGTTTATCTGCCCTAAATTGGATGTGATGAATTAATATCAAGTGATTTTTAAACGCGTAATACCTTTAAAGTTTGCACGCTCCTTTAGTTGAGAGTATTAATTGATGTCCAGCTTTGTGGAGGGGGGTTTACCAATTGTAATTTTTTGTTTTAACTATATATTTTTCTAGTTTGTTTAGTTAGGTTACTTTAACCATACATGGGTAATGTTTTATTTTATTTTTGAGATATGCACACTTATGATAAATGTAGCAAAAATATAATTTATGACGTAGCATGAGCTAGACTCTGATTCTACGTTATATGTGTACAGTATTGCTCATTTTGGAACTTTGGAGGGTAAAATGTCACCTCATAAAACACTATAATAGTTGCTGTACTCGCGCTTGCAACGGGAAGAGGCCGCTGAAGAGAGCAAATTTTTCTTTAGATCTATTGTATAAGATAGTTACACATCCGGCAACCGTGTTAGAAATAAAATTCAACCACACCACTCCATTTAGAAAAGTTTATGTTTTTAATTCGGATAAGTGAATGACTTATAAGACTACATAGTACGAAATATAAAAAGGCACTGATGCACTTATGAACATGCTTGAACATAGTCCCGTTGCTAAAACGATGCTACGTACCCCACTATGATAACATGGTTTAAGCCACCTTCGATAAACTGTTATAGTATATTTTTATATGAATTAAACTGAAATCGAGTAATTGCAAACTAAATCAATTGGCGCTTAATGAAAATTGCCAGTCAAGACGTTAAAAAAAACTGAAAAAAACAAAAGCTAATAATATTTGAACGTGACATTGGAAGGGCTGGAGGCGGAAACAGATAAATGATTAGGGGGAAGGGAGGGGGTAAAACGACGTGGGTAGAAGCACAATGTGAGTGTCGAATACGAACGTCATTTGAAAGTAAATCTTATAGAAAAATTGCTAAATTAGCTTAATGAAAACGTTTTCATTATAGAGTTGTTATGTCGGTAATTGGAGTATATTAATATAATTAAAATATAATTGGTATACTCTGCTTTAGTTAACACTAATTTGTATGGTGTGAGTAATAATATTGCATTTATTTTGAGAATCCCTAACGAAAACGAACTGAGTGAATAAAGAAATGGAATGCATGTATTGATTATAAAATTTTTTAATAAATCTGTTTATCTTTCATTATTTTATGTTAGTTTTTGTTTTAATTTTTTCCACCATTAATACTTTGTTAAAACCATTAGTCAAAGTGCTTGTTTATAAGTTATTAAAGTTTCAAATAAAATTTAATTGATTTAAATTTTTTTTTTTTTATATTAAATTGTTGTTTTATAATTTTTTAGTATTGCATATTTACTATTATTTAAATTAAAGATTTATTACAGTAAAGACTCTTAAATCTTTATTTCTGCGTACAACTTCTATGGGGATCAAAATGACCTATACTTACAATCATTAAGTATACACGTAAGCATACGAATGATACAAGTAACGGTTGCTTTCGCGCACAACGACTTTGAAAAAGGCTCCAGCGTTCCATTTATTTTAAATTGTTAGAAATATGTTAGTTTTAGACCAAAAACAATACCTCTGCTAAGTTCTGTTCTGGCAAAATTTGTTTTCGTTAAAAAACTACAAATGACATTTTAATACTTGTAACATTGGCCTTATGCGACCAAGTAGCCAAGATGAATTTACGAGATAACGAGGAACATGTAAACAAAGGACTTTTAGCATATAGCAAATTAACAATACGGTACAAAAGAAAATGACATTCCGATGATTACCATTGAGCATTGATGAGGAAATTAGTTACCTCATAACCTCATAAATGTGACTTTAGAAAAAGCAATGGCTGTTGTTTGGTTTCGTCGCCGTTAGTTTTCGACGTTTTCGACAATGCGCTGCCGTCGAAAAGAAATGTACGTTTTTCCTCGATCCCAGTCACTGACGCGTCGCACCAATACTCGTCGTATCAACATATGTTAAATACCACACGTTTTTGATAATGAAAATGTTAAATTTGAAGAATGAAGAGACAGATGTCTTTATAACTTTATTAAAACTAATAGAACTGAGAATGAGGATTATTTACAGGTAAAAGCAAAAAATTATGCATTCGTAATAGGAATTTTAACAAGAGCTCTAAATTAGTTATTTGGTTTTAACTTGTTTGTTTTATTTAGACATATTCTAAGTGTGGTTCAGTGTAAGAACTAATTTCTTGAGACCCTTGTAAATCATATCACATAGCCTCTAGATCATAAAATGGGTTTAAAATGCATTTTCTACATTTGTTGTCTAGAAAAATTGCCTTATATGATCCAGCTCAAAACATAAGAATATTGAAAGTGTTTATTTGCAGTTTTCTTTTACAATTCTGTCTTCCCATATAGGGAATAAGCTAGTACCGGAACTGAGAGCCTAGACAAATCTGGTGTGGATAGCTTAGGTCTATTATAGTAATAGACCATTATAATAATGGTGATCAAACCAAATCTGTGGTATAGGCTACATATTCATGCATCTAGGTGAACGTTCCATGTTTAAAGCCTATCTTTAAATTAATTTTAGCGAATTTCCCATATAGGGAGTATTAGCGAATTTCCAATATAGGGAATAAGCTATTACCGTAGTACTCATGGTAAGACCTGGACCGGGGACCGATTTACTTTTTTCATTTTGATGTCACAGAGGTCAAAACCCCATCCGTTCAAATTCATATTTTATTTGTTCGTCCATTAGCACGATAACTCGAGCAAAAAATCATTCGATTTACATGGAATTTGGTACAAACGTATAAACCTACGTTTATTCAAACTAGTCTGCTAACATGTTTAGACCATGGGAACGGGTTTATGGGGTAAAAAGTGGGTTTTCTCCTTTGGACCCTCAAAACATAGAATGTCCCAATTTGTATTTAAACCTTTTTTAAGAGCTTAAAAACAAAAATTTAGTATCTTGAGGTGACTTTGTTTGTCTTGAAAAAAAACTTTATATAGCTAAAGAGAAAATTCAAAAATTGTACTGTAAATTTAAAATTCTAATGTTATTTTTATAGGGAGTAAGTAAATTGTTGCAGTCTAATATTGTTTATAGATATTGCGAGTCCCATGCCTCACTTTAAGTTTAAGTTTCCTAAAATGAAACACTCGCTTAGCTTAGTGAAGAGGTGTTAGGTTAATGAGACATAAGACTGCTTAAGGGTGTTACTCAACGTGTAATGAACAAAAATTTAAATTTAGAAAAACAACAAAAGTAACAAAGTGTTACAACAGCAAAAGAAAACTTAAAAAAGGCAAAAATCAACAATAATAAGATAAATAAATTTACAACGTTAAATTTACAAGAAAAGAAAATCAATTGAAAATTTAAAAGAATTAGTTAGTGACAAATTATATGACTTTTATGTTTGACAAAGTTTTAGTTAGATATTTTATTCTTTCTACATACTGTCTATTGTCCCAGAAGCACACACACCGATACACGCACTCCCAAACTCCCGATCTTCTTTCTCCGGTGGCCCGTGGTGATCTCCTCGATGTTTTCCTTCAGATCCTCCAGCTCCAAGAGTCGTCACCCCTCCATCTTCTTCATTAGCCCTTCTCATTGGCTGATTACCGATAGGGTGTGTGGCTTATAGGTTAACGGTGTTTCTTGGAAGTCAGCCCTACCGGTCATCGCCTAGCTCACATCAGCTGGGAAAGGAATTTGTAAATCGATGCTCATGCTACTGTTCAACTCTGTTCACACCAACTGGTCGACTAAGTGTAATGTGAACAGAGTGTCTGCATAGATGAGCACCGTGGGTACGGGGTTAATCCCTTTTCTTACAATATATATATATATATATTGTTCAAACTTGGCAAAATTATTTATTTTATACTAAGCTATTTGTATTTTACTAAAACACACTTTATTACCCTCCTTGTAGCATCAAACCTAGGTACTCGTTAAATTTAATGTTATTTAAATATATTTGTGAAAATCATATCAGACAAATGGAAATTCGCTTGGTCTGCAGATTTGCTGTGGCAGGGGTATTTTAATAATATACAATATTTAATATATTTCGAAGAGTAGATTTATCTTTGGAATTCATGGGTTTAGGATAAAATCAAATTTTATGAAGGCCTAGCACAAAACGGCCCTTTCCATGAATGGCATAATTATTATGTAGGCCTTTAAACAAAAAAAATCTGTTAAGAGATTAACTTTTACAATAATAAGTCTTGTATAACGGCACAGCTTTCACGTGAGAATTTGGTTGGAAATAACTTATATTATTTGTAAAATCCTTATTAGTACATGAAAATGGCTTTTAAAGTGTTTAATTTATGCTT